TCTGAATACTAGGCAGGTAAGCTTTCTTTACCCAAGTTATATATCCAGTGTAACACCTTCCCCCGACCTTTTGTTTCTGTAGACAGGGTCTAACTTGGAGACCTGGATGGCCTGGAACTCACTGTATATGCATAGATGTGGGCACAGTATGAGTTTGCCTGGTATTTGAGGCTAAAAGAGAGTCAGGTCTCATGTAACTGGAGTTAGGGGACTTATAAGCAACCTTGAAGGGCAGCCCAGGGGTTCTGCCAGATAAGTGCTCTTAACAACTGTCATTTCCAGCCCCAATGTGTAAGGGGACAGACAGTTCCCCTGTACAGCTCATCCCTGTGTACCCAGGAAATGACAGGGCTCATTTCCAGGCCCTGGCTGTGGGTCCCAGCAAGAGCTTTGTGGGATACTGATGTGCTCTTGGGAAGGTATGCTGCCCACCTTTCAGACACTGGCCTACCAGGCACTGCTAATGCCTCAGGGGAAGGTCTGAGGGTTAATCATTGTCAGCTCTGGGCAGCAGGTCTGTGTGGACATGTGTAGGAAGAGGGCACACTCCTGTCTGGCCCCTGGTGACCCAGTTAGGGCCTGTCTGAGGGACCGAAGTCCAAGGCTGTGTGAGAAAACCCACCACTGACCCTGCATGAGGTCATGCATGCCCTGGATTTAGGCCTCCCTCTCCACACCAGCTCTTTTTGACTATGTCCCCCACCCCCATAGTGTGCCTTTGAGTGAACACTCTAGTGTCCCTCTAGGGTTCAGCCTCCCCCTCATGGCAGGCCACTCAGATTACTTACTTAGTGACATGATATGGTCTGGGGGGAAATGCTTATTCTGAACACATTCCAGCAGCTGTCCTGAAAGTTTGCCTTTATGGCCTCAGGAACTGGCCACAGTCAGCGAGTTTGTTGTATCAAGTCATGGTTCCTGGTTATGGGGCTGAATCAGACGCTTCGCCAGTCTGTGGGGAGCCTATCCTTGTGTTGAGAAAGACCAAACACTGTGTGGGCCATGTCTGGCAGAAGAGTCTCATTTTCTGTTTGTTTGTGTCACAATAATGATTCTTTAATGTGCAGATTAATCAGCCAAGGATTTTGGTAACGTTTAAAATACTGGTGGAGCTGGGCAGTGGTGGTGCATGCCTTTAATACCAGTACTCGGGAGGCAGAGGCAGGCAGGAGGATCTTTGTAAGTTTGAGGTCAGCCTGGTCTGCAGAGCAAGTGCCAGGACAGGCTCCAAAGCTACACAGAGAAACCTTGTCTTGAAACACCAGAAATAAAATAAAATAAAACCCTCGTGGTACAGGGTAGTTAGGTTTAGCTTGAGATGGGGACTATAGCAAAAACTCGCATATCAAATCCAAGGTACTGGCTGTGGCCTATGGATGGAATGAGAGGTCTGAATGCCCTGTGTGTGGAGTGCTCATGCTTGGGCAAGTATAAAGATGCAGAATGGGCTCCCTTGAATAAATTGCAAATACACCTGTGGTTGCCTCAGGGCCGGTTCATCCTGAGCTACACTGCGCCCCCTGGTGGACAAGAAGCCTATTATGTACTCTGACAGCAGCACCAGGTGCTGCTTCTAGAAAGTTCCCTGGGTAGATAGCCTTTGGTGGTAAGTGTTTGAAACAAGAGCAAGGAGGAGACCGGAAACCAGATGGGCAACTGCTCTCTAGGCAGAGTTCCTGAGCGCTGGTGTATGTGGTGAGTGGCTTCCTTGGGCTGTACAGCATGAACAGAGGGGATGAGAATCCAGGCCGGGTGCAACCTGATGCCCATGGACAGCTGTAAAATCAGTTCAAAGTCAGAAACATACAAAGGTATGTGCATCTTTAATTCTAACACTCAGGAGAAAGGCAGGCAGATCTGAGTCCTGAAACACTATGTAGGCCAATCTGGTGTACATAGAGTTTCAGGACAGTCAGGGTTACATAGCGACCCTGCGTCAAAGAAACAACAACAACAACAACAAACCAAAGAGCAACAACTGAAAAACCAAACAGTAACAGATTGTGTGTGTGTGTGTGTGTGTGTGTGTGTGAGGGGGGGGAGGGGAGAGAGGGATGTGTGTAAGAGGGGGGAGGGGGAAGGGAAGGAGATGATTATCCAGTTCTCAGGCCTTAGATTTGTAGCAACATATTTCAGTGTCAAAAGGGTAGACACACCAGTTGGAGGATCATGACTCACAAAGCAAGTTAGGCATAGTCCATGCCTCCAACCTCAATACTTCTCTGAGACTGATGACTGCTAGGTGTTCAAAGCCAGCCCGAGCTGTCTAGGGATTCTTGGATACAGTAGAACCTGTCTCTCTCACAATGAAAAAGCAAACTTGACTTTTATTTCCTGGGTATAAAAGCATGTTTGTCTATATTTAATTCTAGACTAGTTATACTTTTATTTAAAAAGATTTATTTTGGTTGCCGGGTGTTTTGCCTGCATTATTGTCTGTGCATGTGCACAGTACTTCCGAAGGTTGTTAGATCCCCTAGAACTAGTTACAGAGTATTGTGAGCCACCATGTGGGTGCTGGGAATTCATTCAGGTTCTCTGGAAGGAAGAACAGCAAACCAGTGTTCTTAATCACTGAGCCATCTCTTCAGTATTGTAATTATTTATCAGGGTCTTATAGCCCTCGCTATCCTGGAACTTACTGTGTAGACCAGGCTAGCCTTATTCAAAGGGATCTACCTGCTTCTTCTACCTTCTTAGTGCTGGAGCTATAGTTTTTGTTTTTGAATACAGGGTTTCTCTGTGGAGCCCTGGCTGTCTTAGAACTTGTTCTGTAGATCAGGCTGGCCTTGAACTCAGATCCACCTGTTTCTGGTTCCTGAGTATTTCGATTAAAGCAAAGTGTGTGCCACTACTACTTGGCTCATGTGCCACCAATGCCGAGCTTTGGCTTTAACTCTTGAAGCTGTTGTTCCTTAGTTTATCAAATTCTTGAATTACAAATTAGAACAGCTATAGATAGCTTTAATTTTCTCATGGTGATAAAAATTCCCTAAGGGTTTAGCTATGCAAATCTTCCGTTATCCTAGGTATATTCCTTTCTTCTTCTTCTTCATTTTTTTTTTTTTTGGTTTCTCTGTATTGTTTTGGAGGTTGTCCTGGAACTCGCTCTCTAGACCAGGCTGGCCTCAAACTCACAGAGATCCACCTGTCTCTGCCTCCTGAGTGCTGGCCTCCTTTTTTTTTTCAATTTAATTTTTAAAATTTAATTTTTGTCTTTGGTTTTTTGAGACAGGGTTTCTCTGTATATAACAGCTCTGGCTGTCTTGGAGCTTTGCAAACCAGGCTGGCCTAGATCTCACAGAGATCCATCTGCCTCTGCCTCCCAAGTTCTGGGATTACAGGTGCGCACCACCACCGGCCAGTATAAAGTTAGTTTTTTTTGCATTTATATATTATATATGTATTCTGTCTGCATGTATGCCTGCAGGCTCAGAAGAGGATACCAGGTCGCATTATGATGGTTGTGAGCCACCATGTGGGGGCTGTAAAGAGACCTGGAAGAGCCCCCAGTGCTCTTAGTCATTGAGCCATCTCCAGTCCCCCAAATTTATGTGTTTTTGTTTTGTTTCTGTTTTGTCTACTTGTGTGTGTACACAAGAGTTTGCATTTATCAGGGGGAAATACAGGAGTTTCTCCATATGGGTTTGGGTGTTGAAATTAGGTCCACCTGAGCCATCTGTCTCCCTGGCCCTGAACGCTTTCACAGTTTCCAGTCAGGGCCACCCTTACCATTCATGACATTTTGCAGTGCCGGCTTCCAGCTCTGGTTCCTGAAGTGCTAGGGATGCACTGAACTAGTTCTGAAACACATTCTCAGCATGCTTTGTCTTTTGAGGCAGCATGTCTCTGTCCCGCCCGGGCTGCCCTCGATTGTCCCTCAGGCTCCCCAGTGCTTTTGCTGTAGGGGCATGCTGCATTTCGTGTTGAAACCTCAGGCTCTTTCCAGGGTGGGCTCACAGTTGTCTGTTAGAAAGCCACAGTTTCTGGTATATTTTGTTGTTTGTTTGCCTATTTATTTATTTATTTATTTTGAGGCAGGATCTTATAATGTAGCACTGTGTGGCCTACAGATCCTGCTGTCTCTGCCTCTCCTGAGTATTGGGATTGAAGGGGTGTGTTACCTGGATGGGTATGGGTTGGGATGAGTACTGGTTCTTACATGTACATATGCTTAATTGGTGTCCACAATGTTGTGTGAGTCAGGGCAAAGGTCACACAAGCCCATGGACCCAACGGTGAGGACCTGACTCACTGTCTTAGCTGGCTTACTAGAGAGACAGCAATGACACAACAAGTCCTGGAGGTCTCATAAGGCCACAGTAGGCCAGAGCTGTCACTCTTGGTGACTGTACAGCTCTTTGTCACTGCTTTTCCTGCATTCTTCTTCCCTTCAGAACTTAGCATTCACCCCCCAGCTGATGAGGGAAGGAATGAGTGACAGGCCAACTGACCAATGGGCCCCAGAGGATGGGCTGGGCTGGGGCTTGTGCTGTCATGGAGAAGAGAGAAGCCTCTCTGAGAGGAGGGGCAGAGGGAAGGAGACCTGGAGAGAGCAAACAAAGCGGTCATGAGGAGAGAGTGCACTGGCTTCTTGAGGCTCTGCAGAGGCTGGGCAGGGAGAAAGGGCCAGGGACAGAAGGGAACCTAGGCTGTCCCAAGCAGGCCCAGGCAAGCATGCCCTAAATGGCATCATTTGAAGGGCTGGCCAATTGCAGAGCAGCCCTAGCCTTAGACCCCAGCCTTAGCACCATCCTCCCTCTCTGTCCTGGGGCTTGGCATCAGGGGCGTGGGGGTTCGTTTGATCAGCCCCATGGAACCAAGTCCTGAGCCTCCAAATTTGGTGAGCAGACAGGCTATTGGTAGGAGTCTAGTGGGAATAGAGACAGGCTGTCAGCCACAGATTTGGTGGGGTCTCTTGGGCTGGAAATAGAGAACCTGTGATATGAAACTTTCGTGCCACCATTTCTCCTACTTACCCTGAGTTTTTTTCCAAACAGGAAACAATGAAGGGAGACAGCAGACATCTGAATGAAGAAGAGGGTGCCAGTGGGGGTGAGGACTGTGTCGTAGTCAATGGGAACTGTAGCGACCAGTCCTCAGATACTAAGGATGCCCCTTCACCCCCAGTCTTGGAGGCAATCTGCACAGAGGCAGTCAGCACACCCGAGAGCAGAGGTGGGTGTCAAAGCTCTGACGTAGCAGGTGGAGACCTAAACAGTGGTTCTCTTCTGTTGATATGGGCTTCATAATGATCAGGAGATGCGGCCAACTTGCCTCTTCCTCTTAGAAGCTCCCAGACTACCTGAAAGTCCTCCCCCATTGGTTGTGGGTCTTCTCTGTTGTCCCTTCTTGTCCTTGACATCTACAATGTCTATTAGGACTTTCTGAAATGGATAAAAGTGGCTTCTTGGCCACATGGGAACGTTTGAAAAGAAGCCAGTATCAACCAGTTTCATGGAATGGACTGTGAAGGAATGGGCTTCTTTTCCTCCTTAGATGTTAACGCTTGTCTTGTGGAGAGGAAGGCATGAGCCAGGCCCTGTCCCTTTGCCCTGAGTCCATGGTGGTGAAGGGGTGCACTGGCTTCCTAGAATGACAGTGATAAGGATGCATTTTAAAGCAAGGCCACTCCCCAGGCTGGTGACCACTGTCCTAGTTCCCAAACGTGGACCACCAAATCTTCTTTACAGGCCGCAGATCAAGCTCACGGCTGTCAAAGAGGGAGGTCTCCAACCTGCTGAGTTACACTCAGGTACCATCTCTTCTCTTCATGTGGTTTTATACCTTTACTTTTGGTTGCATGAGAAAAATGACAAATGAGATTCTTTACTCCACTGGAAAGTCTTTTATTTGATCTTTCCTGTGTATTTAAAGTTATACCTCCCTATCTGTAATCAGTATTCAAATAGAACAAAAGACACTTCTGAAATGAGTTCACCTTGGCCATGGTATGCTTGATGTTTGGTTTGATTGAGACAGTATCTGGATGTCTGGGATGTCACTGTAAGCCAGGGTGGCCGCAGCAAACCCCTTGTCTCATGTCCTCTTACATGTGTTGTGAATAAGTTGAGAGGATGCCTGGCAGGCAACATTCTGCATTGGTCTCATTTCCATAACTTGCTGGTGGCCTGGGATTTAACTTTTCAACCCAGTTTGAATTTGTGAACATGTGATTAGCAGGAGTGAAATTTCACTAGAGAAAAACTTGATGACCTTAGGTTGTATTTTGGACTCCTAGGGTAATGTCAAAGTAATGATATTTCTGTACCTTGATTGCATTAGTTCATCTTTTTTCCTTACCTTAGGAACTAGCAGGAGATGGAGATGGTGAGGCAGAGGATGGGGATGGCTCAGACATTCTACTAATGCCAAAGCTTACACGTGAGACCAAGGAGACCAGGTCACCCTCTGAAAGTCCAGCTGTAAGTCCCTCCCACTTGCTGACTCCAGTACCTCCCACCATGCCTGGACCTGCATGGAAAATAAGGCTTAGGCAATTATTCAGAAAATTTTGTGCAATTGATATTAGTTGTGTTTGATGTGTATAGGTCACTGGACAACTTATGAGAGTAGGTAATCTTCCAGCATGTAGATTCTGGGGACCAGATTCAAGGATTGGCAAGTTCCCTAATTCACTGAACCCCTTGGTAAAATTTTCACATCCCTCAGCCATAACAGAATAATTCAGATCCTTACCCAAGGCTGATAGAGCAAGGAGTAGACGAGTCATGGTGTTCGCTACACTGAGCATGGCACCAAGATCTTGATGACCGCTTTACTTTTGATTGTCTTCAATGTTTTCTGATTACAGTCCCACTGAGGAAGGCTTTGCAGTCTTTTGCTTCTCCTGCTAAAACTCCAGGGAACTGGATTAATGTCACCAATGCAACAATAGGCTGTATTTTCACCCTCACTATGTGATCAGATCCAAGTGCAGATCCCGCTGATGGGTGAGAATGAGCCTTAGCTCGTGGCTGTGTGGAGCTCCTGTAATATTGGTGCCTGGGAACTGGAGGCAGGGTCAGTCTTCAGGGCAAGGTGATCTTTTTTTTTTTTTTTGGTTTTACGAGACAGGGTTTCTCTGTTTTGGAGGCTGTCAGTCCAGCCTGGCCTCGAACTCAACAGAGATCTGCCTGCCTCTGCCTCCTGAGTGCTGGGCTAGGGCAAGGTGATCTTAAGTGTAATCCTCTGACAAGCGTTGTAGTCACGCATTGCAGGTATGCACCATCATACCTGGTTATGTGTGAGGCTGCGGTTCAAACTGAGAGCTTATATGAAATAAGCATTCTACCAGTTCAGCTATTTTCACAACTCTCAAATGATTTGACCTTTGGAAATTATCTGCAAACCCCAGTCATTGATGGTATCTTATTTATTCAACATGTCATTTCTTTCCCGTGAGAGATAACAAGCTTATTTGTGACTACCATCGATGCAATGGATTTGTAGTTTTCTGGGTGATTGACTCAGTTCCCTGTGGCTTATGTGAGTCCTTTTCTTTTAGAAGTGCATGCCCTGGCTCAAGTGAGTTCTAATCCACCCTTGACCAAAGAGGAATAATACAAATGTATATCAGTCACAACAAAAAACAGGCAGAGTTATTGAAATGGAAAGTCACTGCTGGTCAGTTCAGAGTGTGGCATCCAGTTACTTCTACTCTGTTTTTGAGTTGAAGTTGGGTCTCAGGCTTTCCTATGTCAGTCTCTTAAATGATAGAATTACAGGCAGGCAATGCCACACGTGATTAACTAACCATCAGTCGTTGTATAGAATTGGAAAAAGTGACAGCAGCAGGCAAGTAAACACCATTCTGAGGAAATCGAGCTTTTCTGATCTGTGCTTTCCTAAATAAGGCAGTGTTTAGGCTTGACCTTGGCTTAAGGCAGCATCTCTCAAACTTTCACAGGGGTTGCATATCGGATATCCTGCTTATCATATGTTACAGTTCATAACAGTAGCAAAATTACAGTTATGAAGTAGTAATGAATTATTTTTATGGTTGGGTTACAATGACATGAGTATATTCTCCTGACCTTGGGGTTCTGACGGGAAACGCCCTCAGCTGCAGCCACTTAGAGCACCATTCCCTTTGCTCTAATAAAACCCTCCATGTGAACTTTGTCACATGGTGTCTATCTCTCTCACCACTTTTTAAATTACAACAATGAGTTGCTGTATTAAAAAATCATAGTGTTAAGAAGGTTGAGAAACATACTGGTTTAAGGTAAACAATTGCTTACTCTCCATTTGCGCTGCCAATTCAGGTGGTCAAATCTTTGACATGGGTCATTGTGATTGTCCCCTTCAAAGATAACCTTTGTTAAGGAGAAGCTTTTTCTTTGCTAGCCGCTTTGGTTTATCCCCCGCCAGCCGCCGGGGCTCTGCCGCATTGTAGTCCCCAAATAAACACACAAGACGCATTATTAATTATGAAGCTGTTGGCCTTTGCTTGTTTCTTACTGGCTAGCTTTGACTTAAGTAATTACCCCATAATTGTTAAATCTAAGTATTTCTCTTACCGGAGAATAGTTCCGGGCTCCTACCCCATGGCGTTACATGTTGACTCTCCTGTGTTTCTCCTTCCCAGAATCCTCCTGGACTCCTAGCCCCACCTATCTAGATTCCTATTGGCCAGACAGTACTTTATTGACATACACAGGACTTCCCCAACAAACCTTGTTAAAGGGATCCCCACCTTTATATCCAATTGTCTTCTCCACTTCAGGTTTACTTGAGGCTGCTTCAAGGCCCAATCCTTTTGGGAGCCTTCATTGGACTGCATGTACCCAGTCACCTAAAGCCCTGTGTTTATCCATTCTTACTTTCAGGTGCGAACCCGAAATAGCAACAGTACCTCCAGCCTGGAGAGGCAAAGAGCCTCCCCCAGAATTACCCGAGGCCGCCAGGGCCGCCATCATGTGCAAGAATACCCCGTGGAATTCCCAGCTACCAGGGTTGGTCCTGTCTCTGAAAGATCTGCTTCACTCATCTGCGCAACACTGGCTATCGTGTACATATAACCTGTGCTTTCTTCACACACACCTACTTTCCAGAGTCTGGCATCTTTCTTTCCTGACTCACCGTACTTAGAACTACTTTGGGGAGTCAAGAGTTCCCGACTGCTTAGGTCTCTGATCCACCTTGGAGCTGAGCTGAAAGCCACTGGTGTCTACTATGCATGTTTCTTTTGTCTTTTCCTGTTGTCCTAAGGCAACCCCAGCAGGTCCTGCACATTCTACTTCTGTTTCCAGATGCACAGGAGCTGGTTTCCCAGAGACCCCACCCTCTCTGAGCTCAGCTTAGAGCCTTTGGTTATTATCTGTCATTTCTCTCACGCTATTTATTCTGTCTCCTTTCTGTCTTGGGGTCAAATGGCTGCCAGTGCCTGCCCTGTCACCCTGTCTTGTGGGGTGCTGGTTTGCTCATTGAATCTTGCAGCTTTAGGAATCTGTTGAGACACTGTATGTACCTCCTGCTTTGCTTCACTAGGTCTCAATCTTGTCTTTCTATCTAGTCTCGAAGAAGGCGAGCATCGTCTTCAGCAAGCACACCATGGTCATCCCCCGCCAGCCCTTACCCCAGTATCGACCTCATAGAAGAAGGGACACCTCAGAGGAGCAGTACCCCATCTACTGACTGGAGTCAGGACAGCCAGCAGGAGAGCATGGACACCACACAACTGGATGCAGAGAGCAAAGATGGAGACAGCACCGAGTACCAGGTGCCGCTGAGAAGGGATTTTGTCCCAGGTTGCACAAGATGCAAAATACAGGGAAAAGAAAACATAAATTATTTATTCTCCAATGCCCCCTTATTCCCTTTTGCTTTTTTGAGATAGGGCTTCTCTGTTTAACAGCCCTCACTTTGTAGACCAACCTGGCCTCAAACTCCCAGAAATCCTCCTGTTTCTGCCTCTCAGGTGCTGGGATTGAAGGCTTTTGTATGCCACATCCAACTGGTATTTTATTTCTGTTTACATAAAGATGGTTTCATAGCATACATATTTAATCATAAAACCCATGAAGCAGAGGCAAGCCTGATCTACATAGAAGTTCCATGCTAGAGCTATATAATGAGATCCTGTCTCAAAACAAACAAAACAAAACTAACAAAACAAACCCAAGGGGTGGGGACAAGGAAAAAAACTCAAAGTTTTGTGTACCCAAGGATGACTTCTAAATCCTGAATGCTGGGAATATATGCATATACTACTAGAATTTCTGTTAATTTTACTAGTTATAATCTAAGAACTTGCCAAATATAATATAACCCATCTATCAGTTCAGCATTTTAGTAGTTCCCATATGAACTAATTTTTTTGCATAATATTTATGGTCTTAGAAATTTTGATCCTGTTCAGGCATGTAAAATGGCTTAAGCAATAGTTGCTTTCACACTGGGTGTATTCAGGCTCTTGAATGTATTTAGTGGATTGAGACTGTTGATATATATTCCCAATTAATGCCCTTCTTCCTACATGTAGATGTATGCATCTATACAAAGCCAAATTTTGTGTTGCTTCAGAATACTTTCTGAGGTAGTCCTGTGTGTTGCTTCTTTTTTTGTGAAGCAAAGTTGTAGTTAAGTCATTTAGGGGGAAGCTGTTAGCCCAAGGAACATGTACTCAAGTGTGGGCATGGTCAGCTGGCTCGGCAGTAAAAGACACTTGGCACTAAACCTCACCTGAGTTCAGTCTCTGGGAAAGGACAGTCATCTAAAATGATGACCTCCTTCACTTGAACACATGTGTGTTTCTGCATACAATCAAATATGGACACTCCTCCACACCCAAAAAGTTGTAAAAAAATACATAAACCAACTTATTTTTCCTAGGCACCTTTTTATATGTACTATTTCTCAAACTCATTCATCACATTTTTTTGCCCAACAGTTTTTTTTTGCCCTAGGTCAGTGGAGTTTCTCAGGGTTCACCTGCCTTGGTGACTGCAATTTTTTCTGTTGGTTCTTTTTCCAGGATGACAAGGAGTTTGGAATAGGTGACCTTGTGTGGGGAAAAATCAAGGGCTTCTCCTGGTGGCCTGCCATGGTGGTGTCCTGGAAAGCCACCTCCAAGCGCCAGGCTATGCCCGGCATGCGATGGGTACAGTGGTTTGGTGATGGCAAGTTTTCTGAGGTGAGTCCATGGCAAGGTGTGCTGACTCTTCATGCCTGAGGCCTTGCTTCTCTTCTTGGGTGACTGAGGTCAGCTTTCTGCACGAGAATGCAGTAAGTTTGGCACTGAAACTGGAGTAAGAAAGATTCCTTGGTTGCCTGTCTTAGATGCCTGCTTGTGGGATAAGAGATAAACTGCTTATTCTTGATCTTAAATAGGGGCTCAGTGTAACCCCTCTGATTATAACTCAGGATGGCTTATAACTATAGACTGGCTTTGAACTCTGAGATCTGACTTCCTCTGCCTCCTGAGGTCTGAGACTCAAGGTCTGTGCAGCCAAACCTGTGACTTGTGTACTGGAAAATAAGGAAGTGGTATAGCATTTTAAAAAGGTAGCTTCCCACATCTGCCTGTCACTCCAGTGCCAGGGTTTTATCTAATGCCCTGTGATAACCTCTCCACATCCACACATACAATTGGTATTGTGAATCATACCTTAGATACATCTTGTCCACACAGTGAAGTCCAGCCAGAGAAGCTGCATAAAGAAACCCCATCTCATTAAAAACAAAAGACAGTATGAGCTTCTAGTGTTAGGCATTTAGAAATGAATCTTTATAATGAGTGTCTTCTCAGCATAAATTAGAGTTTATTTTGTCTTGAAGTGCTATGGATCCAGCCCAAGTACCTCACATGTGCTAAAGCAGGTTCTCCTATCCCATGAGTGCCGCTCCCTGACTCTTACCTTTAAACACGTTCTGAGATCTGCGTTAAGATTTTTTTATCTGTATGCCTTTTTCTCTATGTATTTCTGTATACCATGGGAGGTCAGAAGGGGGACTTCAGGTCTATAGACCTCGTAGATCTTGACTCTGGACTTAGTGACAGCCATGAGCTACCATCTGGGAACTGGGGATCTAACCTAAGCCTCTAGAGGAGAAACCACTGTGCTTTTTTTTTTTTAAAGATTTTTATTTATTATTTATACAGTATTCTGTCTGCATGTATCCCTGCAGGCCAGAAGAGGGCACCAGATTTCATTACAGATGGTTGTGAGCCACCATATTCACTGGGAATTGAACTCAGGAACTCTGGAAGAGCAGTCAGTGCTCTTAACCTCTGAGCCATCTCTCCAGCCCACCACTGTGCTTTTATCCCCTGGAATTATACCTGATTTGGCTTCTAGGTCTGCAGAGGGCATATCCTGGGGGTTTCCTTAGGAATGTTAGTCAGTGTTAGGTCGATTCCCAACCTCAGACAGGATGCGGTCCTCAGCAAACAGGCGAGAGTGAAGTGGCATTTGGACTTGTCCATTTCAAGTTTCCTTTCCTGTGAATTGGATTTCTTTGACTTTTCCTGAAGTATATCCTACATTTCCCTGGTAACAACAGCAGGACATGAAGACTGTTGTGAGGTTACATTCAGTTGTCTTGTCTCAACAGCAGAGGGAGCAGGAGGAACTGTGACTTGGGCCTATGCATCCAACCACAGAGATATTTGCCATTGCTTTGATCCAGTGAGACACAATATACTCATTTCTAGACAGGGTCAGATGGCAATAAGTGGTAACACGGGTATGCTAGGATTGTAGGGTGGTGTTTCAGTGTGCCGTGGTCCTGGCAAAAGGCCAAGACCTGCCCAGGGCTATATAGCATCCACTGTTCTGCTCATGTTGGGTCAAGCAGCTGGCATTTCCTTGTCACCCAGTTTTATCTTTGTACTCACTAGGAATCCCACCCATAATTCATTTCTGCATTGACAGAAGGCAATTTGCCTTCAGTGATTAGGACATAAGTTACATAGTTGTTGTGAATATTAAGAACTCAAGCATATGTTCAACCTGTGCGTAGTGGGAACTCCTTGATTGGCAGTGGTGCTCAGGAAGGAAAGGACCGGGCACAGATACATCATGGACAGTTTCAGGACTGAGACTCATGTCTGCACCAGGGATGTTCACTCTGTTCACACACATGTATGTACACATGTATGCGCAGGGATGCTGAGAATATATCTAGTTTTACTTGAATTATCCTCCTTACCCACATCTGGAGTTTCTCATTTGCCCTTTCTTTTTCAGTTGGCATCTGTAAGTTGTTGCTTCATTGGGCTCTGGGTGAACCAGTACACATTAATCTCAGGTGTGGGTGATCATAGTCGTGTTTTTCTCTCCTAGGTCTCTGCTGACAAACTTGTGGCCCTTGGGCTGTTCAGCCAGCACTTTAACTTGGCCACCTTCAATAAGCTGGTTTCTTATAGGAAGGCCATGTATCACACTCTGGAGGTAACATGGGTGTGGGTGCTAGCTAGGGTGTCACCCTATAGGCAGGGCAGAAGAAACCTACTGAGAAAAAGCTAGTAGAAGGTCCGTTCAAGACTGACTTGGGACAGAGATACCAAGGAAGTGAATGGCAACAAGATGGGGCCTGACCGCTGGGTTTAACCGGTTATAAGGGGATTACTAGTAAGTTGCTAATACTGATATAAGACAGGAAGATTCATGGCTTGTGCAGTCACAGAGTCACATTATAAAGGGCCTTTTACCAACCCGTACCCATGAACAGGATTTCTAACCATAGAGGAGGCAGTGGCTAGTTTGCTCTTACCATAGTTTGTAGATAATTTTTTGTCTCCTGGAATCATTAGGCCCTTCCCCTCACTTCCTCTAACCCTAACCTCCATTGTGCCATGTAGGCAAGTACATAGATGTACAGATTCTCTTGGCCCTTGAAGTAATGGGTGCTTTGCTACAACCCATCAGAAGACATAAGCCAAAGGTTGCTTTCCCAGATAAGCGGTTGGGGATGGGGATGGTCATCTTAATAGCTTAATCAATCTCCATCAAGGATCTGAACATAATCTGCTTCATATAGGGAAAGATGTCTGTCACCATGTCCCTTCCTATTATTTCTTTACCTATCCCTCAAAAAGCAGACCCTTGTCACATGACAGGCCAAGACAGCTGTGCAGCTCTGAAAGACTCCAGTGTTTAGGGAATGCAGGCCCCAGCAGGAGGAATCCCTGGGTTCACCCTGGCATATACCTCATTCACCTGTTCCCATTCATGGACAGACTTTGCCTTTATTTGTGTCTTGGCAGAGAGCCAGGGTGCGAGCTGGCAAGACCTTCCCCAGCAGCCCTGGAGACTCACTGGAGGACAAGCTGAAGCCCATGCTGGAGTGGGCCCACGGGGGCTTCAAGCCCACTGGCATCGAGGGCCTCAAACCGAATAACAAGCAGCCAGGTGGGGATGGATCTGTACCTCTGTACCTCTGCTGGTGGCATAGCCACACTGGTACCCTGAGCACTCTCATTGTGCCAACCTGTGCCCTGTGGACCCCAGGGCTGTTAAAAGCCTCTGGGAGCTTGAGGGCCATTACCTGCCTTGTCAGGCTTCCCTGGCCATATTGCTGCCACAGGTATGTGCAGTGCAATTAATCTTTTCCACATATTCAAATTCATCTTTTACCTTTGTGGCCAGTTTTTTTTTAAATAAAAAATTAAAATGAATTAGGCTTCCTGCCATTTTGACTGGTATTTTATTTCCCTGCATATGCACATGGTTCAACATAATGAGGTGAAGGGTGCGCCTGAACAGCCAGCCCCCATATCTAATAAATGCTTTTGTTTTGTTTTCCTGCAAAAGTGGTTAATAAGTCGAAGGTGCATCGTGCAGGCAGTAGGAAGTTAGAACCCAGGAAACACGGTATTCCCTTATCATCTTTGAGTGTTCTGTTTTCTTTCCTCTGTCCTGCAATTTCTTGGCATCTCCAGTTCCCACTGGAGACGAATCAAGTCTCCTACGCTGAGATGAATCCCTCCCCATCACTCCCCACCCTCACTGACCCTCAGGCTAACCATGGGTGCACATCCGACTTTCTACACTCTTTGGATTATCACCTTCTCTCTTGTTTCTTAACATTAATGACACGTATAAGCACTGGAAACGGCCACTTTGTCATCAAAGGCTCTTTGAATTTTGATATCCTTTAGATATTTGTCTTTGTTTTTGTGTTGATGTTTTATGTGTGGAGCTGAAGATCAGAGGACAGGGTTCATGACTATAGTCTCTACTGCTTGAGTGACTGGTTTCAGATTGCTAGACTTAACAGCAAACACGTTGACACAGAGCGTACACAATGGCCATGTTTTGTTTCTTGTGACAGGGCCTCACTATACACCCTAGGCTGCATTTGGATATAGGAGTGTGTCATTGCACACACCTTTCTTATGGACTTTGATGGGTTTTTAATTTTATTTCCTTGCCAGGCCATGATGGCACATTCCTTTAATCCCAGGACTCAGTAGTCACAGGCAGAATGATCTCGGAGTTCAAGGCCAGTCTAGTCTATAGAGCTGATTCAAGGACATCTAGGGCTACACCAAGAAACCATGTCCTAGAATACAAAAAAATTCTTTCCCAAGATGGAGGAATCAAATTTAATCATTTCTATTATGAGTCAATGTAAAAACAAGAATGTGAGCCACAATAAAATATTTTTAAAAATAGGTTTTTAACTATAACTCTCAATGCTCCTGTATATAGATTTGGGTGGCTTGAACTTCCTGTCTGTGCTTTATGAATGCTGTCACTAAAGGAATGTACCATCATACTCAGCAATAAAAAATAATTTTCTAGTAATAGAAAACTTGAAATATCTACTTTGTAAATTATTACTTAAAATATTTCAGTTTTTAGTTAAATCTTACTGTATGTTGGCAATAGATATCACCTAATTAGTTCTTCATTAACTAATATTATAAAATTGACTAAAGTAGATTCCATTGTTTAAGTAAATTCAGTTGAACCAGACAGTGGCTTCATTTTACAATTTGGACCTGGCCATCAGTGTGAAATCCTGTCCTTCCTGACATTTCAAATAGCTCCCTGCCTCCATCCGGCGTTGTGGTGGGCATCACTGTAGGAACCTCAAGAGTTCCAGCTGTGGCCCAGCATGTGCTCTAGACTCACTCTAGAAGGATGAATTTTCGTACACATCCAGATGTGTAAACCCCATGACCGTGACTCTGCCTGCTTCCCGGGTGAGAGGAGCTCTGAATTGGCTTCTGCTCTGGGCTCCCCTCTGGGTTCTCTGCACCCATCAGGGTCCCCTGCTCTAGATGCAGCTGGATCCCAGGCAAAGCATGGTCTTGTCCTAGGCCCATCTTGTCCTAGGTCTTGTCTCTTAGACCGTCAATCAGATCTGTCTGCTTACCTTTCAGAGAACAAAAGTCGAAGACGCACAACCAATGACCCTGCTGCTTCTGAGTCCTATCCCCCACCCAAGCGCCTCAAGACAAATAGCTATGGTGGGAAAGACCGAGGGGAGGATGATGAGAGCCGAGGTGATTTGGGGTCGGGTGCTGACAGGTCTGGCCAAGCATGGTGCATACCAGGGGCAGCAGGTCCTCAGACCACTGCTGTGTGGAATGCAGAGGTGCATGGCTGCATGGGAAAGGAGAGACTTCCCCACCTCATCTCACACCTTGTCCCTCTTTCCTCAACAGAACGCATGGCTTCTGATGTCACCAACAACAAGGGCAATCTGGAAGGTACTGTTGCTCCCCGGTCCTTCCTTCCTGGAGTGCCCCAGGCCTGTCTTAGCCTGGCTTTGACCTTCTACATGGGTTCAATCCAGAGTCTAGAGTATTGTCCTACATCAGGACCTATTCCTGCACCCATGTTTAACTGAATCTGATCTTGTCGCTGAAGTTACTGAACAGGGAGAGCATAGTAGGGGACAATGTGAGCCTCAACATTTTGACCAGCATTGGCACCTTGAGCTTTCCACGAACTACTCTGGTATTGTCCCAGTAACTATTTTTCCTTGCACTCATTTTGGCTCAGAACTAACCTATTTTTTGAATGTGTGAGAAACTCCCTATTTGCCTTCCCAACTTCCTTCTCTTGAGTCCTTAGAGATAGTTGCTTAGTATTGGGTAGGAAATTTTGTCCCTGAATTTAAGCTATGTCTGTCAGTAAAGTGCTTATAGCTCAAATATACCTGTGCTGTGGTCCTGCCAAAATCATAGGAAAAAGCCAAGCTGGCCTTGATGTAGGTAAGACTGACTACCTACAATCCCAGGTCAAGAAGACTTGCCCTGTCCTCTTGACATGTGTGGGCACATAGACTGAGTGGACGGATACAAGGAAATAGTTTTTAAAAGCTTGGTGTGTACCAGTAACATGGCCCTGTTGAGACGGGTTAGATACAAGCTTTCATGAATATGATGTAGGGTAATGTGCTTCCCATGGAAAGGGAATTACCTTCCCAGAAATACAGTACCACTAAGCCACCATTGGCAATCATGGAGTTTTAGAAGGAAATAGAGGACAGGACAAGACAAGAGAATCTGCCAGGCAGTGGTGTCAGTTGGTGGCGCATGCCTTTAATCCTAGCAGAGGCAGAGGCAGGCGGATCTCTCTTGAGTTTGAGGTCAGCCTGATGTACAAAGCTACACAGGGACACTCACTATGTAGACCACATTGTTCAGGAAAACCCCATAGCTCTGCTTCCAGATTCAGGGTTATAAGGGCCACATGAATAACAAATGCATTCAGACCTGGAATTAGACATAATTTGTTAAAATGTGCTGATTGATTTAAGGTAGAGAAGAGCTGGTGTCTGTAGGCACATTAATGCTACTTCATTGGTAGGATTTGTAGTGTCATCTACAAAGCAAATTGCAGTTACCATTGGTATGAGAATTTGTTTGGTCTTTTTCTTTGCAAACCCCTTGACCATATGTAGCTCCTTTTTGTTGATTTGAATTAATAACAGTTAAATTGAAACACATCACTGCATAAGAACAGAGTTGTTGACAAAGCAGGGATTCAGAACTGGCATGTTTAAGGCCTCATTAGGAGACCCTTGACCTCCATAAACTCTGACACCCTGTCTTTTTCTCAGACCGCTGCTTGTCCTGCGGTAAGAAGAACCCTGTATCCTTCCACCCCCTCTTTGAGGGTGGGCTCTGTCAGAGTTGCCGGGTAAGTCTTCCCGCCCCTTGCTCTGCCACATCCTTCCCCAGACAGGCCCCCAGCACAGTTCCTGCTCCAGGCCCTAGTGAACATCCCCAGGGCACATCCCCATCACCCTTCCTGTTTGGGGGACAGGTGCTGCAGCAGAGAAGGCTCTCCATGAGGCACTCAGCTCATATGTACTGTCACTGAAAAGCACCCCAGCTATCAGCTAGGGCCCCTGCCAGCTTGCTAGCCAGACCTGGTTGGGGTCAGGTCTATGGTCTCACGGGCTTTCTCTCTGGTGGTCAGGATCGCTTCCTGGAGCTCTTCTACATGTATGACGAGGACGGCTATCAGTCCTACTGCACTGTGTGCTGCGAGGGCCGTGAGCTACTTCTGTGCAGCAACACGAGCTGCTGCAGGTGAGTGTCCTTCCATGGGGGCTGCACAAGAGGGCCTAGGGTCCCCGGTTGTACCCTACAGTTCCTGCAGCCTGTAGGCAGCTAAAAATCAAATAGAAAATGAGCACCCAGGGGCCATTCTGTGGAGTCTGTTGTGCATGGGCATGGACCGCAGTGATGCATAGTGCTGGACTTGATCCAGGTGTGCCTGCGAGGCCAGCCCTGTGAGGTTTCTGAAATGGTTGGTTACCCTATAGCTCAAAACATGTGGAGGCAGGAGGCGGAACATCATGCAGGGGTGGTCATGCCCTGGAGAACTAACTGAACCTGCTGGACAAATGTCTGCTAACCTTGATCCATTCTCTGGATGCTCTGGCACAGGTGCTTCTGTGTGGAGTGTCTGGAGGTGCTGGTGGGTACAGGGACAGCTGAGGATGCCAAGCTGCAGGAACCCTGGAGCTGCTATATGTGCCTCCCACAGCGCTGCCATGGGGTCCTCAGGCGCAGGAAGGATTGGAACATGCGCCTGCAAGACTTCTTCACTTCTGATCCTGACCTCGAAGAATTCGTAAGCCATGGGCTCTGTGCAGCCCCTTGCAATTACAGTCCCTGAGAATCTGGAATCCTGTGCATCTGTAAAAGCAAGGGTTAGGCCTTTAATCTCAGCCCGTAGGAGACAAGCAGTCATATGACTGACTCCAATGACAGCCTGGTCAGTCAAGTGAGTTCCCGGCCAGTCAAGGGTACCTACGTACTGAGATCCTGTGTCAAAATAGACAAAACAAGTTATAGTAACAGGCATAGTGACATAGGCTAGAATCACAGCACAGCTACCCGAGCCATGAGCTTTGTGATGAATTTAAGGGCAGCCTGTGTTAAATAGTGAGGTCAAGGGCAGCTGGGGATGTACAGCAAGATTCCATCTCTGCTATACCATCTGTACCTCCCAGAGCCGGTGCCTGCCAGAGGCTGAGAGCCCTTGCTAGCTAACATCTCTAGCAGACAATTCTCCCTTCCAGTACCTTCTGAGGAGGGAACAGGATGGAAACATCTGAGCGTATGAGTGACGAGGGCAGCTGCTCCCACAATGTAGGAGTTTATCTCCTGTTCTGAGGCCTTGGCTGTTAGCGGTCAAGCTTATCTGTAGGAGGTGACTGTGCCTCCTATCTAAGGACAGAATGGCCAGCCTGTGCCCAATACTCTCTTACTGGTTCCCATCGATGCTTCTGAGTACAGGAGGACAGATGGACACTCTGGAGGCATCACTCTTTGTTTGTCTGGTAGGAGCCACCCAAGTTGTACCCAGCAATTCCTGCAGCCAGGAGGAGGCCCATTAGAGTCCTGTCCCTGTTTGATGGAATTGCGACAGGTGAGTTTGAGGCTTCTCTGAGGATGCTCTGTTAGGGCAATGAAAGAATCTTCTAGGCGGGCTGAAGGTGTCCCTCCCGTGATAACTGAGAAGCAATAGCTAGTAGTAGTTAGGATGTCATGTATGCCCCCCCCCCTTTTTTTTAAAGTATTTATTATGTACACAGTGTTCTGCCTGCATGCATGACTGCAGGCCAGAAGAGGGCACCAGATCTCATTATAGATTGTGAGTCACTATGGTTGCTGGGAATTGAACTCAGGACTTGAAGAACAGGTAGTGTTATTAACCTCTGAACCATCTGTCCAGCCCCATGTGTGTCCTTTCTTAAACTTTTCCTTCTATACTCATGAATACCTTTGTGGTCAGTTAGGCAACAACTACCTTCCTTTGTGGTCAGTTAGGCAACAACTACCTTCCTTAATTCTGGCTCCTTTCCATTTTGAGAGATGTCCTATATGTAGAAGGAATGAACATAGCCATTACAGGCAGTGCTGTGAGGTCCCCTGGAGTCGACACAGACACCCTGAAGTGACAGTGATGGAGTAAGGGGCTCTCATTGTGCTTCAGGAGGACCCTGGGTGGGCTGATGGCTCTGCACTTGGCCTCTTGGCCTCATATTTCTATTTGATCCCTCACAGGGTACTTGGTGCTCAAAGAGCTGGGTATCAAAGTGGAAAAGTACGTTGCCTCTGAAGTGTGTTCAGAGTCCATCGCTGTGGGAACTGTTAAGCACGAAGGCCAAATCAAATACGTGAACGACGTCAGGAAAATCACAAAGAAAAATGTGAGGGTGACCTTTTTCATCTCATCTTGCTTATCTCTCTTCTACATCTTGGACCTTCCCTGGTCTCAAGGCATATTGTCCCCATTCCTCAGGTCCAGGGTTGCAGGTGGGGGAAGCTGTTGCCACTTCAGAAAAAAGTACAATTAGGACAGTTTGTGGTATAGTTCAAGATTACTTAGTTCTGTTAGAACATGAGCACTCAGGTGTCTTAGGTTAAACATTTAGTGTTGACAAGGGTGATTTTAGTACTGATGATTTCTTTTTCTCTCTTTCCCACCCTCTCCCCTCAAGGCTTTAGTTTTTCCCTAGGTTTATCCTAGTTCTGTTTCTTTACCTCAGATTGATGAGTGGGGCCCCTTTGACTTGGTGATTGGTGGAAGCCCTTGCAATGACCTCTCCAATGTCAATCCAGCCAGGAAAGGCCTATATGGTGAGGAGAATGACTGGTTTGTGACCCTCCCCACCCCAGGGCCACTAAGTCAGTTCCGATGAAACGGGCTGCAAAGAACCTATTGGTAGCTTGTTCACCTTGCTCATGGCTTAGACCCCATTATTGTTTGGAATTCCAGAGCACGACAGGTACATGCTTACTGCCGTGTCCTTGGAAAAACCCTTGGTTTTGGGAAAGTTGAGTCACATGTTGATGTATCTCCTGATGGAACTCTGTTTTCCAATGTTCTAAACCAATAGAGGGCACCGGCAGACTCTTCTTTGAGTTTTACCACTTGCTGAATTATACCCGCCCCAAGGAGGGCGACAACCGTCCGTTCTTCTGGATGTTTGAGAATGTGGTGGCCATGAAGGTTAACGACAAGAAGGACATCTCTCGATTCTTGGCGGTGAGTGGATTTTCAGGGGGGCCTAGGCAGGGGAGGCAGGCTAGCACTGATGGCCTCCTTATATTGCTGAGGACATGATTGCCTGATTAGAGGACAGTGTGGCTACATCTGCCAATGAATAGTTGGGCAGCCTTTTTGAACTTCGGTGATCCTTTTGCTCACCCCATCCTTGTTAGCTGACACTTCTCCTGTCTTCTATTTGCATTGATAATGGCTGTTTTAAGGTCTGTGGGGAGGTTACTAGGCTTTTGTCTTTCCAGTTCTTGGTGTGTTTTCCTTCATTTCTAAGCTTTATTTTGTATGTGTGCACACAGGCACACCTGCCATGCTGCATGTTTGAAGGTCACAGGATTACTTTGGAGTCCATTCTCTCCACAATGTGGCTTCTGGATATCAAACTCTGGGCATCAGCATAAAAGCACCCAGTCCTGCTGAACCACCCTACTGGCTCTGTGCTTCTTTTTGAAGACGGTCTCAAAGCCCTGGCTTTCCTTGAACCTTTACTCTTCCTGTCTCTGCTTCTAGAGAGCGGGGATTACAGGTGTGCACCACCACAGCTGGCTTATGATTTATCTAGCTTTAAGTGATAGAGCTGTCTTAGCCCTGGTTAGGTATTCATTCATTGCCTGCATAAACTTCTGCGGACATGATTTTGTCACGAATCAGCTTGGGCAGGTTTGATCATCTTGGCCCACCGGCATGCATAGTAGCTATCTCCAGCCAGCCTTTGGGTGGGTACTGCTCAGTCTGTTTAGCTAGGAAAGGCTTGTCACCTGACAGGTCATACAGGGACTGACTGACAGCTCCAGCTGAGTCTTGCAGTGTCTTCAGCAGCTCCCTTTCTCTTCCTGCAGTGTAATCCAGTGATGATCGATGCCATCAAGGTTTCTGCTGCACACAGGGCCCGGTATTTCTGGGGCAACCTGCCTGGGATGAACAGGTAAGAGACCTGAGAGGGACAGGTAACAGACAGCAAAGTCTGACTGACATTCCAATTTTCGGAACAATGGTTCTCAACCTGTAGGAAGCAACCCCTTTGGGGGGCCTGTCCAATGACCTTTTCACAGGGTTCACATATCAAATATTTATATTATGATTCATAACAGTAGCAAAACTACAGTTGTGGAGTGGCAATGAAATAATTTCTTGAGGCCGCTGCACCATTCAGAAGTGGATTGTATGTTATTTGGGCTTTATTGCTTTAATTTATGTGTATGACGTGTGTGCTGGAGCCCATAGAAACTGTCAACTGTCCTTTGCTTGAGTGCCAAGCACTCTTAACTTAACCACTGGGCCATCTCTGGCCTGAGACACTATTAAAGGATTCCAGCATTATGAAGGTTGAGAATCAGTGTCTAGAAGGTCATGGCTTTAGGATGCTCTGAATAACTGGAGCACTGGGCAGCTGTCTTGCTCATTGTAACTGAGAACTAACATCCTGCTGTGCTAAGTCTTCTATGGCAAATGTTGGAATGTCAAAGATCGTTCTTTCTGACCCTAAGATGAAGTGTGTCCTGTACTAGGCCCTTGGTGATGAATAGGGCTGGCAGAGCTGAGGTGGTATGTTAGCATGGTGGCTCAGTGGTTAAGCTCACTTGCTACCCTTGCAGATTCTTTGGGATTGTTTCCTAGCACTCATGGTACTTCACAGCCATGTAACTCAAACAGTCTGATACTTTCTTGTCATCCTAGGGCTTCAGGCATGCATGTGGTATGGAATAACACATACAAAGAAACCATTCATAAAAATAAAATCTTTTTTGCCTTCCTCATGTTCCCTATTCAATCCATCTATTATATTTTTTCCTCTACTTCTCTATAGCAATATATTCTATATCCTTTTTCTTAGGAGTCCTCCATCTGCTTCCTGTATACCTAAACTCTGGTGTGTTGTAGCACACAAAGGCTTAAAAGCTATTATGCACATATAAAGTAGACTAGACAATATTTGACCTTTAGGTCTGGATTATTTCACTCAGAATATTTTTTTCCTGATTCCTTTCATTTCATCATTTGTTTTCCTTTTTTTTTCCTTCTAATTTTTTTTTTTTTTGTGTTTTGGAGACAGGGTCTCTAGCCCTAACTGTCCTGAACCTCACTATGTAGACCAGGCTGGCCTTGAACTCACTTACCTGTGCCTCCTGAATGCTGGGATTAAAGGCTTGTGCCACCATTGTCCAGCTGTTTTTTTTTTTTTTTTCTTTTTTCTTTTTTTTTTTTTTTTTTTGGTTTTTCAAGGCAGGGTTTCTCTGTGGCTTTGGAGGCTGTCCTGGAACTAGCTATTGTAGACCAGGCTGGTCTCTAACTCACAGAGATCCGCCTGCTTCTGCCTCCCAAGTTCTGGGATTAATGGCGTGAGCCACCAACGCCTGGCTCTTTTCTTTTTTAAGTATACAATGTTCTGTCTGCATGTATGCCTGCAGATCTCATTACAGATGACTGTGAGCCATCATGTGGTAGCTGGGAATTGAACTAGGACCTCTGGAAGAACAGCCAATGCTCTTAACCACTGAGACATCTCCCCAGCACCCTACTTTGTTTTTCTTAAAAGCTGAAAATTCCATAGTGTAAATGAATGACATTTTCACTATCCATTAATTGACAGAACATGTATGATTCTAACTTCTGGCAATTGTGAATAGAGCAGCAAGGAACATGATTGAGTAACTGACTCTAGTAGGATGTAGGATGATACACCTTTGGGTATATCATGAAGACTGGTATAGCTGGATCTTGAGGCAGATCCATTTCCAACTTCCCGAGGAACTGCCACACTGCACACAATGCCTGAACCAATTTGCATGCCCACATCCTTGCTACAACGAGCTATCATTTGTATTCATCTTGTCCATTCAGACTGTCATAAGGCAAAAATCTCAGTTACAATTTGCATTTGATTTTTTTTTCTGTTTCTTTTGGTTGTTCCTTTTTTTTTAGCCTTGACTGTCCCGAAACTCTGTAGACCAGGTTGACCTCAAATTCACAGAAATCTGTCTGCCTCTGCCTACCAGATGCTAAAATTAAAGGCATGTGCCACCGCTGTTCATCTATAATTTACAGTTTCATGGTGCCTAGAAATGTTGAATATTTTTTTAAGTCTGTCTCAGCTGTCTATACTTCATATTTTGAGGGGTTAGTTCACTATTTCTGATCCCCATCTTTTAGTTCTTTATATATTCTAGATACTAACCCTTATTAGATATATTAGATATAATTTCTAAGATCTTGTCCCATTCTATAGGCTGCAATTTTGCCACAAGATGACGTCCTCTCTGCCTTATAAAAGTTTTATAAGCTAATGGCATTCCCACATATAAATTATTGGCCTTAGTGTCTCTTTCCACAAAATCTGATGCCCTCTTGTCTTCTGAGGGTGCCAGGTATGCATATGATATGCAGACAATAATGCAGACCATACTTTGATATACATAGTAAATAAGTTCATTTATTTTAAAAGTAATAGTCTGGCTTTCTAACCCTAACCCTCTAGTTTTCTCAGACAGTATTTCCCACCCTTTAATCATGAACCAGAAGTTGTTTAGTCAATCGTACTAGTACAGGCCTGCTTATCTCATCTGTCTTTGCTTTCAAGACCTTGCTAATGAAGATGCAAAATGTAATGGTGTTAACCGTATCTGAGGGATAATCAAGCAGAGGGATCTGGTGAAAAACCTATTTTGATATTGCTCAAGTGTTCCTCAAGGGTGGGAAGAGCCTGTGTAAGGTGCTCCAGTTTTGTGGGAAGTTATCGTTAATCCCCAAAGCTTGCTGAATTATTGGGTACCATACTATGTTCATTCTTGGGATACCCTATACTAATTTACCTAGCAATCAAGCTCGTTGCTGTTGTGATTCCCGTTCAATGGTAACTCTATTGATGGCTTTTGTGGAGTGGACAAGCTACAGAGGAGGTTAGTAGGTACGTTCAGGGCTGGGAAGGTAGCTTTTCAAATGTGGATGGGAACAGGAGGGCTCATTCAACAAATCAGAAGGAATGTAGCTGTGTGAAGAATGAGCATCCTATGAGTGATTTGGGGCTCTGGATTGCAGGGTTGATGGGTTTCCCTACATAAGCTTCCAAATCAGTGTTTTTAGGTTAGGAACACCTTGGAATGAAACTAAACTGTAGGTGTAAGTAATTCTGTCTAGACATGGTAACGAATACTTACGTTGTCGTTGGAGGAAAAGAGGAAGAAGGCAGAAGATACACAATGGAAGTTGTGAGGATTATTCTCTGTTGAAGAATCAGCATTGAGGTCTAGGCAGAGACAGACTTCACTAGCTGATATCTGCTGGGTGGTCATCATCCACCAGTCAATCTGAGAATTAAATGTAGTTTGTGCAACTCCTTATTTTTTTAAATTATACTTATGTGTACCTGTGAGTCTGTGAAATCTTGTGGTTGTCACGCTCCACTAAGGGCTTCCTGGGGTTAGACTTGTCCACACTCCACTACCTGTGTGGATGGTTTGTGTGGATCCCTGTACAGATCTAGGCTTCCTCTGACTCTTTTCTTTTTGGTCTCAGGTTTAGGCTCCCGTATTTGTCATTGCGTGGCTAGAAGGCTGTCAGGGCTATGTGTGATTTCCTTAATTAAACTGCTTCCATTGTGAGGTCTCAGGTATTTGGGGCCTCTAATGGGGCCGCCATAGTTCATGGCTTCTATGTACAGATGTGGACAGTTTCTGCTTTGAAATCCAGCTCATGATGTTTGACGCCACATTTGCTGATCAGTTGGTGCTATTTAGAAAGAGCAATCACTTTCATGGGAGGGCGATATTTACTGTTACTAGGCTAGCCTGAGGTTCCATTCCTAGCAGTGCATGACTCACAGTAAGGATGTCCATGGTGATCTAGACCAAGGTGATAGTGCTGCCTATATGTAACAGTGGAGGAATTCTTTCTGGTTTGCACAGGACTTGGTTTCCTCTAAATGCATGTCATTCAGTGGTATCGGCACTATACTATCTGTGGGTAATGGGCAGTTTTGGGGGACTTCAGCATATCCTTGTGCTCTCACCAGGATGGTTTTCATCCAATGTCTGTGACTTAATCATTACCTAAGCACAATTAGGAAGCAGATTCTGAACTGTCAGTTCAGAGCACTCGTTGCTCTTGGTTCCACCCCCAACACCTAAATGGCAGCTCACAACTGTGTAGCCTCAGCTTATACATTCTTTTTACATCCTAGGACCATGTCTGCACATGGTTCTTACATATACAGACAGATGTTCATACACAGTTTTTAAAAATTTTATTTAAAAAGCTACGTTCTCTCCTCATCTGACTTGCGAGATCTCTAGCTTAGACCTCCAGGGCAGATGCTGGAGAGTAATGGGTTTTGGCTGTTCCCAGGCCTGTGATAGCTTCAAAGAATGATAAGCTCGAGCTGCAGGACTGCTTGGAGTTCAGTAGGACAGCAAAGGTAAGACGCTGAGTGGTCTGTGCTGCACCTTCTGGAAAACTGTGACCTTGGCTCTATCCACGTGGCTCCCGCTCATTCCCTCACAGACCCCTGGTGCTGGGCCTCTTTCCCCACAGGATTGTTCTGTCTCTTCTTCAAGTGCAGAGTAGGAGATGTTCTTGGTAAATAATTCCAGTGAGAAAATGCGACCGGGTTCTGCATTGGTTAAGGCTGGAGGCATAGACGCTGTGCTGCAGGTGGTCTTTGCAGTAGCAACAGTGGTGGACGCTGTTACAAAAGGCTGTGCACAGTCACAGATGCACAGTGCAGAGTCTGGTGCCTGCTCCTCCGTGTCTGTGAAAAGCAAAGGCCTATTGCTCAAGCTCTAGTTGGCCATTCTGAGTCTGGATGGTTTTTGCTCTTAATGACCCCTTTCATCAGTAACTGGTGTCTTGGCCACTATGTGATCCTTCATGGTTACCTTTGGCTAAATATATGTGGTATTTGAGGGAAGCATAAAGAATCTGTCCAAGTCTCTTTGTCCTTTCTTCGTATATGCCACCTCTCCAAATTCCTGTCTCCCGCCCTCTGTTCTCTGGATGCCCTTGAGCCTGGTTCCACTTGGAAGCCTTCTGCGCTTACCCGTCGATGTTGTTTTGTTCTCCAGTTAAAGAAGGTACAGACAATAACCACCAAGTCGAACTCCATCAGACAGGGGAAAAACCAGCTTTTACCTGTAGTCATGAATGGCAAGGACGATGTTTTGTGGTGTACTGAGCTCGAAAGGTGAGCTGCACGTGGAGAGGGAAGCCATGGGAACAAAGGCAAGAAGGGGACATGGTGTGGGAGACAGACGGTGAACACTTGTCTGCCTTCCCTGATATTTTCCGGTCCCAAAATCTGCTTCAAATGAGAAAGCTATGGAAACTCGGCCTTTGTCCCAGGATTTCTCCTCCAATGGTTCCTTCTCTCCCCGGTCTCTCTCATCTCTACCTTGCTTGTATGGAGCAGCCATCTCTTGGATTTCAGTTGTGCATGTTTTTCCTGGGGAGTGGGTGGGGCTTGGGGGTGGGGGAGGTGGGAGAGGGAGGATGAGACACATCTGGTGGCCTTGGGCTGACTATGTATATGGCCATTCTTATTTCTTTTGGTGCTTTGATCCAGGGTTTCTTTGTAGCCCTGGCTATCCTGGAACAAACACTGTAGATCAGGCTGGCCTCGAACGCAAACATCCTTCTGCCTCTGCGTCCTGAGTGCTGGGTGGTGTGTACCACCACCACCTGTCCCCTTTTCCATATATTTTTATTATTTCATGAAGAAGTTAATATTCCATATTTTATTGCATGTTTTCTTTTCTGATCTGGCAGAGCAAGGACTCCCTATAGTCTAGGCTCTCCTGTGCTAATGTTGGCCTTAAAAATGGCTTTAAAAATTTCTAACCAATTATTTTTTTTTCCAAATTTGAGCATATTTACCCCTTCCCTAATACTGGGATTCTTACCTTCTACCACTATATGGTGGGAACTTGCATAGGTCTGGTGCTTAAGCCCTGTTATGTCTGGAAACTGTTTCAGGATATTATAACCTCTTTGGGCTCTTAAAAGACTCAGTGCCCTCTTCTGCAAAGGTCCCTGGGCCACGGGCTGGGAACACTGTTCTTATGTCCATGCTGTGTAGCCTGTTGTGGAATTTGAATGTTTAAAGTGGTTCTTGAGGGGTGATTGGTATTGTGTCTATGGCAGGAATGGCAAGGTCTGTTCTACAGGTGAGTTTAGAGCTGTCAAAACCCTGTAATGCTGAGGTTCGCTCTTTGTCCTCTTCCGCATCCTGATGAAGCACCTTGGGCAAGCTTTGGAATTATTTTTCTCTCATTTTGAGAGAGAGCGAGAGTGCTGTGTGTATATGTGCTCAGTTGGTTATAGAAAAACTGGTATCTTATGAGCCCCCTGTGTTTGTCATTACATCTTGTCTTTGTTTCTTCACCCTGAAAACATGCTTGACTGCTCATGTTTTCAAGCCAAATCTATGGCTGCCTGGTGATCATCGTAGACCAGTGCACACTATGCATTGAAGGATGGTCCTGGACCATGTCTGCTGACTGACTGATCACTCATGCATTAATTTACACTAGGCATTTAAGAAGTGTCCTTGCATGGCTTGTAAGGAGCATAGTCCCAGTGAGGAGGATACACAGCACTGGGTCCTTGTCACCGTCAGCTCTTAGCTGAGCCAACAATTGGACTGGTGGTCCAGACGGTCCTTTGAGCCCAATGGTCCTGACTGAAGTCTCATGGTTTTCCCAGGCCTGGGTTTCCAGAACACAGCTGTTCTGGGTGTGCTGGGGACATGGGCCCTTCTAACCTCATGTCTTTTCGCTCTGTATTCTCCCAGGATCTTCGGTTTTCCTGCACACTACACAGATGTGTCCAACATGGGACGTGGCGCCCGCCAGAAGCTGCTGGGAAGGTCCTGGAGTGTGCCGGTCATCAGACACCTCTTTGCCCCCCTGAAGGACTACTTTGCGTGTGAATAGTTCTACTCAGGACTGGGGTACTGAGCCAGGTCCCCAGAGTCACCCCTTCCTGAAGGCGCCTCACGTCCCCTTTCTCAGCTCACCTGTCGGGGCCTCACCTCACTGTGTACCTCAGCTTTCTCTTGCTCAGTGGGAGCAGAGCCTCCTGGCCCCTGCAGGGGAGCCAAGGTGCTCCCACCATGTGCACAACTCAGAACTGGCTGCTTAGAGTAGCCCAATATGGTGCTCATGTTTTCTTATCCTGAAACCTTAAAACTTGAAGTAGATAGTAAAATGGCTTTTTTTCCCCTCCTGGGTTAATCAGTCAGAAGTGATGGCTAAGATACCAAAACGATAGCTCTCCCAGTACTCAGGGGTAATGCTGCAAAATCACTTGATTTTTGTTTTTAAGTAACCTGACTCCACATTTGCTAGAGGATGCTAATATCAGTGTGGGCTCAGATGAACAAGGTCAAGGGGCCAGAATTTTTTTTTTAATTTTTCCCTATGGATAGTGGAAGATGAAAAGGTGATGTTTATGATGTAAGGCTTACTGGCACCTTCCCCTTGTTTGGTACAAAGGCTGGAGTCCTGTTGGTCTTGTAGCATTTCCCAGGATGATGATGTCAGCAGGGATGATATCATCATCACATTCAGGGCTATTTCCCCCAAGATTTCCCTGGGCAGGGGCCCGTGTAGCTAATCCTCAAGAAGACTGGAATAGAATGTTTTGAGCTCAGGAAGGGGGTGTGGCCCCTCTTCTATGTATGAGGGACATGAAGGAAGAGGGAGCTTGGCTAAACCATTTGCCATGCCCTCTCCAAATGATGGACCTCTTTCCCCACAAGCTCAGGTCCCCAGATAAGTATGGTCCTCTAATACTTTATGAGAAGCTATGGCCAGAAGCACATTATTTTCCCTTATCTAAGAGATGATGGGGAAACCACAATCTTCTGGAGATTTTTAAAACCCTTTTACCCTATGATGTATTATCTTTTTAAGGGGCATTCTTTTTTAGTGCATCACTGGAGATGAGAAGCTGCATTTCAGAAATGCTTCGCAGTGGTTTTTAACACCTTTTACTCTAATTACTGGTGCTATTTTGTAGAAAAAGGACAACCTTGACACATTTGGGGGTTTTTATACACTTTTTATGGCTCTCAGACTTCTATTTTCATGTTTAACAATTTGACTAAAGTTTTCTTTGGTAACTGGAGCGGTGTCACAAGTGTGGGGAAACTGCCTTGTTTCAACAGTTTGTCTCCACTGTTTTAGGCAGAAAGATAATAGATGCCTAGAGTTTACCTTTCTGTTTGATTAAAATCGTATTTCTCTATAATTTCCTGTGTTTTCACCTGCCAATGTGTGCTAACATGCATGGAGAATATGTGTTCTCTGAGTCGTGGAGCTTGGTTTACTGCCAGGTTTTACTATCATTAAACCCAGACCAGGTGCATCAACGTGAAGTCTAGGAGAGCCTGGGCTACGTGAGTAAAACCTTAACTTGCTGGGTCACATGACCCTAACAGTAAGACAATCACACACACATACACACACACACACACCATGGCTCACCCACATGCTCTTCCACCAATATGTAAATGTAAAAAAACAAGCAAAGAGAACCTTATGAGGGGCTGGAGAGATGGCTTAGCGGTTAACAGCAGTGCTTATCTAACTGGCAACATAGGTTTAATTCTCAATACCTATACCTGGTAGCTTACTACTGCCAGGGAGTCTTAACATTCTCTTCTAGTCTGAACTTTCATGTACATCCTCTTCCCTCCTGAAACACACAAATACACAATTCTTTCTTTTAAGTGGGGCTGGAGAAATGGTTCCCTAATTCACAGTATGCATAGAACCCAGGTGTGGTGGCTCATACCTGTAACTCTGATTCCCAAGGATCCCAGTGCCTTCTTGGCCTCCAAAGACCATGTGCATATATATGTATTACACAGACATGCATGCAGACAAAACATCCAAACATGAAAAACAAATGAATCATTAAAAAGAAACCCTTGTGGTGGGGCCACCTATGGCCCTCAAGGGAATTGTTTTGTTCTCTGTACTGGGAAATTACAATAGATAAACAAGTGATTGGGGCCACAGTGTGTAGGAAATGCCAACCCTAAATTGCTAGAGGCGAAAAAAGACTAAGGAAGGTATCTTCATGGTGATTGGTTGATTTTTTTAAATAGGTAGGCTGTCTTTTAGCCTAGGCTGGCCTGAAAACATCTTTGAACCTCTGATCCCCTTGCGTCAGGCTGCTGAGTGCTGGGATTATAGGCATGTACCACAATACCAGGTAGATGGTTTATTTTAGTTCAGGGACTCATGAATGCTAAGCAAACACTATAATACCATCCCAGTTGGCTATATCTTCAGAGCTTTGTGTTTTTTATTTTGAAACAGGTTCTCAGAAATTGCCCAGGTAGCCATGGAACTCATTCAGTTGCTCAGGCTACTTTGAACTTGTGATCCTTTGACCTCAGCCTCCTGAGTAGCTGGGATCACAGACCTGATGATTATTTCTGTCTGCCGTGTGTGTGTGTGTGTGTGTGTGTGTGTGTGTGTGTGTGTGTGTGTGTGTTTTGATTTGAGACCTGGTGTCATGTAGCCCAGGCTCAACTCCAACTGCCTATAAAACCTGAGGTTGACTTTGAACTCCTGCTTCCACCACCTCCCAGGTGTCCTGATTACAGGCATATGCCACAATTCAGCTTGTCTCTCTTCCTAAGAGCATGTAGTTAAAGTTGCATGTTCTGAGGCAGTTGGTGGTGGCACAGGCTGTTTGAGGACAGCCTGGTCTACAGAATGAGTTCAAGACAGCTGGGGGCTACTCAGAGAATACTGTCTGCATATCGACTTTACTGGGTTTTGACAAAAAGTGTTTGTTATGGCCTTTAGGATTGGGGTATTGCTTCAGAGCCCAAGACTTTGTTCATGCTTAGCCATGTTCTTTGCCACTGAGTTACATTCCCAGGCTGTATTATGTCCATTTCCCCATCTGCAAGAGAGATGCAGTGATGTACAGGGAAGAAGGGGGAGGGGTGCAGACGTTACTTAGTGATGCACAGGCAGGAGACTTGCCCAAAGTTTCATTTAAGGCTGGCCTGTGTAGGCATTCCAGGCAAGCCACAATTAAGATCCTGACCCAATGACAAACAGAATAATCGCCATCAACAAAACAGTAGCACCTACTCTTAAGGATGAAATGAATTACTATATAATTAAATGAGAGAAAGTCCCAAGTAGCAGATGGTACATTGTAAGCCCTTAAAAAGCAACCTTATCAGATGGGGGGATTTATATTTGTTATAGGTGGAAGGACCACATCAGTTTTTGGTTCTGGAAATGAACCCCAAGGTCTCCTGTAGCTAGGCAATTACTCAGACACTGAGCTCAGGGCCAACATCTTCGAGATGTGGAAGAGACCCCCAGGAGAGAACTCATCCTGGCTTTGAAAGTCTGCACAAGAAGGAGGCCTGTGGCTACCGTGGTTGGGTCAGGCAGGGTGTTTAGTCTCCAGGGACAGTGACTGGAACAGAGTCACAGCTCCACACTGTTCTTAGTGACCTCAAATATTTTGGGACCACGACTTGGACAATATTTGTAGCTTCGACATGGTTCTAGGACAGGCGAGCATGAAACAAGAGTTGAGTGTCAATTAAAATAGATGAAGGCAGAGTTTTCCAGGTCTGACTGCTGCTCCCAAACAACCAGCAAACACTTCCCAAATTATAACTTACAAATGCTTGTCTGGTAGCTCAAGTTTGTTACTGCCTAACTCTTGCGTTTACATTAACTCATTTCTTATCTATACCACGTAGCTCATGGCTTGTAACCTAGTTTTCTATGCCTCCTACTTCCTCTGTGGCTGGCTGGAATCTCCTCGAACTCTGCTGTGGTGATAATTGTGGTGATATATTATTTATGATTTAGGAAAGCAAGCTATAGAGGTCAGGTAGTGGTGATCCACAGCTTTAATCCCGGCAGCCATACTAGCAGTGGGACTCAGGAGGCAGCCAGAGGGATCTCTGAGTTTAAGATCACTACACAAGAGTAAAGAGTTCAGAGCTCGCACCTTTGATCCCAGCACTTGGGATCACAGGCCTCTAATCCCAGCACTAGGGAGGAGGAGGCAGGATGGTGTGGCTGTGCTGAGGAAGCAATATAAGGAGGAGGAGACAGGAGCTGAAACCTTTTGCCACTGAGGATTCATGACTACAGGATTAACAATTCAGCTTGGTAGAGGTAAGATCTACTGGCTTGGCTGCTTTGCTTCTGTGTTCAGGCAAGCTTTAGTAAATCATAAATAATAACTCAGTACAGTCTGCCCTTCTTCCTACCTGAATTCTCAGTTTGACTGTCCCATCTATACTTTTTGCCCTGCTACTGGTCAAATAGCATCTTTTAAAACCAATTTGAGTGACAGATCTTTAATGTATAAAGGGATTATTCCACAGCAGAAAGATGTTTAGGAAGAAAAACCACGCCAGAAACCATAAATGTCAATTTCTTAGTAAAGATTCCCAGCGCTAGAAAAACGGCTCAGGAGGAAAGGCACTTGCTCCAAGTCATCAGACTTGATCCCAAGACTCACATGGTAGAAGCAGAAAGCAGCTTCCTGCAAGAAGTCCTCTGTCCTCCACGTGAACATGTGCATACACACACACACACACACACACACACACACACACACACGTCTTAGTCACTGCTCTATCGCTGTGAAGAGACACCCTGACCAAGGCAACTCTTATATAAGAAAGCATTTAACTGGAGGCGTGCTTCAGTTCAGAGGGTTAGTCCATGATTATCATGGCAGGAAGCGGAAAGACATGGCACCTGCACAATACCTGAAATCTTTACATCCTGATCTGCAGGCAACAGGCAGAGAGCAAGATGAAGAGACTGGGCCTGGCCTCGGCTTTTGAAACCTCACAGGCACCCCCAGTGACACACTACCTCTAACAAAGCCACACCTCCTAACCTTTCTAATCCTTTCAAACAGTTCCACTCCCAAGTGACTAAACATTCAAATATATGAGCCTATAGGGCGATTCCTATTCAAATCATCACAATGTAATTTTATTTACTTATTTTTTGGTTTTTCAAGACAGGGTTTCTCTGTGTTGTTTTGGAGGCTGTCCTGGAATTCGCTCTGTAGACCAGGCTGGCCTCGAACTCACAAGAGATCTGCCTGCCTCTGCCTCCCGAGTGCTGGGATTAAAGGCATGTGCCACCAACGCCCGGCTCAATTATTTAAAAAACATAGATTTAAGCAAGGTATCTAGAGGAAGAGACTCAGACTAAGATAAGATACCCAGTATGATGTGACCTTCTCAAGGGAGAGTGGCCATTATATGTTTAAATATCAGTCATATATACCATTTTGGTAGCTATCAAGTTAATTTCAAGATTGCTAAAACACCATTTTTTTCTTTTTTCTCTTTCTGTCAAATGGGATTATAAAGGGACTCTAGAGTAATTGAAATATGTAGGATCCCAATTTTGGGGGGCTTCAGTCGGATCCAGCCGACTGAATACAGTCAGGAGGGAATTCCAGTGAATACTGGACACCCCAAGTTTATCTTTCAACATTTTAATACATCCAAATTAAAAAGAGGAAAATGAGCAAGAAACTTCTTTATTATGATACAGACTTACTTCCTTAATTTTCTAAACGTTCAGTAGACTAAATCTCTCATTAACTTACTTGGAGGGTTAAGGGTAACCACACCTTGTTATTTAGATAAGATATCCACACCTTAGACCAAACTTGTTGTTGCTGTTGTTTTTCTGAGACAGGGGTTCTCTGTGTAGCTTTGGAGCCTATCCTGGCAGTCGCTCTGTAGACCAGGTTGGTCTGGGACTCACAGAGATCCACCTGCCTCTGCCTCCCAAGTGCTGGAATTAAAGACATGCTACACCAATGCTCAGCTTGGACCAAACATCTTACAGTAGCTACGCCTTAGACCTGCAGGTCTTATGACTTTAACCTTGGAAGAGTAAGAATAGTTTTGAACTCTCTGACCTTAAGTCAACATGAAGCGAAGCCATTTTTATGGACCTCGGCAATTCCCCCTTCTAAATTTAATTAATACCCGTGCTTCTGCCACAGTTCAGATGACGGTGTCTGTCTTAGGTTGTCTTCTTTCACCTTCCAGCCGTAGCTGTCATTGGAACACACATCCCATCATGCGTGACCTGTCTTAGGTCCCCTGCAGGCAAAGAGATCTTACCATCTTTGACTCCGAGCCTCTGTAATAAAAAACAGGTAGGGGAGAGTGCATAGCTTGATGCCATGCACCTCTGAGCCAACGTTTCATTGAGAGT